ATCAACAAAACATACGCATTTCGTCAATAACTGTAGTACACACTCCAACCCTCAATTTTCCCTCTCACCGTGTGGTCATTGATGATCGCCAAGCCTCTCTGCAGCTCCTCTCGGATCGGCTGCTCCTGTGCATCGAACTCCGAGAAGGGGCTGCCAAACTGCTCGTCCGCCAGATTCCAGTTCTCCGTGATGGTGGACAGAGCGTTGCTGTCTTTGCGTTTCTTGCCTTTGGTCACGCCAAAGTTGGACACGAACGAGGATTGCCTGGACCTGGTTCCGCTCATACTGGAGCGACTGCTAGTGCGTGACAACCTCGAGGCTCTCGAGTCCGAGCGCTGACGGTTGTGGCTGGAAGAGGCTCGTCCCCCGAGTCCCGTGAGTCTCAAGTCCCTGGCAGACATGTCCGAAGCGCGAGAATCAGCGCGCCCCATGTCGAAGCGCGTCGAGTCCGCCCATGAAGCCTTTGAGTCGAATCTGGGGCGCTGATGATTGCGCTGCGATGGGGACGAGAGCACACTGGACTCGTCCGAGAGGCTGCTGCCGATGCTGCTACGCGATTTGACGTCGTCCTCGACATCCTTGCCGCTCTTCTTCTTCTTGGAAGACTCGCTCATGGCGACGGTACGGTGAAGGTGAACGAACGCGAGCCCCAGTGCGATCAACCCTTCAACTGAACTCTGAACGTCATAAAGCACTTTTTATGGAAAAAAGCTCTTGCCTTGACTTGTGGCCCACCTTAATAAAAATAAATCAAAAGTGGGCCGAAACCAATGCGCACTTTTTTTCTTTACTTTTTTCAAAAAAAAACTTCTGTTGATGTATGTGGTCCACACCGACGCATGTTGCTACAGAAGGAAGGATTTGTATATTTCACCCATGCAAACCTGAAAGTGACGCGGAATACAGAGTAAAGTACGAGAATTGCACCTTTTCCGTGTGCCGTCCGCACAATTCAGTACCCTGTGTGACATGAAAACGGTGTGTCGAACATTCCTCCTTATCTTGGATTGATTATGCATGGCGACAAACTTCTCCTCCGCTTCTCCTCCGCTAGGAATCTACAATTGATTACGAAGGATTTTTGTAGGTTGACCTAGAAGAGACAACTTCAATTGTAGGAATTGATCCTACTTCAATTGTAGGAATTGATCCTACCACAAGAGGCTGTTGGCTCTAGGCTGGAAGGTCTGGCTGGTACTCTTGTCGGCACGAGCAACCGCCACAACTACTGCCAGTAGTAATACTTCTACTAAGTAATCTACGTGATATTTATCGTACTAGGGCACCAGCTCGAAACTGTAATGATTTTTGCATTTATTTTTTTTCAAACATCTGAGATTAACAAGCTCGGAGGACACCAAAATGGAAGGAAGTTTGATGCGCGTGGGCGAGGTTACAGTGCAAGGTGAGATGTACATTGCAGAATCAAACCTTTCCTAATGTAAATATGGGTAAGCTGCTGAGATTGCCATTGTGACTTTTAAAACGAAGAAACAAACCGTTTGCGCACGACGCTAGGAACCTGTGTCTACATGGCCAGCTTTGTCGTCGGGCCTTTTCCACGGGTCCCGAAAATGATTTTTTTTTTCAGACTAGTTCTTTTTCAGGATGTCGAGAAATTAATACTGCATTATTCTAATGGTTTTTGGGGCAATAACCTTGCCAGTCAAGCACGGAAGTACGGCAATGATAAACGGCGATTTTCTGTTCGTTAAGCTCAGACGTAAGTAAACGGCAACGCGTAAAAGGCGAACACTTGAATAATTCGCCACAAAGCCAACATACAGGTGACAACACATTAAAACCTACATGATCACTCTCTTATTACAAAACTACGGTTGGAGCGATACTCAAACAGCCAGCATTGGACACTTTATGGTTTCCACAAGAAACATGGCTCAGGGGATACGCACAGGAGTTGTGAATACACCTAAATCTGCGGTCGATATGGCTTGG